TAGAGCATCGTTCATCATCTGAAATGAAAGTGATCATCATTATAGTTAGGTTGAAGAGTCCGAAGTAGGCGGAAAGTATGAAGAAAACGCACATCATCAGTAATTCCGAGGCGTTCTTGAGCCATTTGGAACTCTCGCATATTCTTCGCTAGTCGTTCAGTTGGCATCTGTTTCTCCATAGTTTTCATGGTGTTCACAGTGGTACCCATAACTTCAGCCATTTTGTTCATACTTTGTAAATGGCTAGAAAGATTATTTACGATATGATATTTAAAAAAAGTCCTCTAATCACTCGCTAATACAAAAACCAGTGTGCAGTCTAAATCTAAAGCAAACAGGTGAGGGCACAAACTACAGCAACTGTGGTGAATTCAAAATCTGAACAAATCCAAATAGGCATCAGTTTTGCTTTTTAACCGAAAACTTGAGTATCTTAGATTTGAACAGTGTGCAGCTATGATATGTGAAGTGTGAATTTCTGTAAACATGAAATTCTCAACACTAAGCGGGACAAATTTCTTGCACTATGTTGAAACATAGGATCCTACACCAGCCAGAGTTCTTTTAGGTATTGGTTAATAAGTATCAAAAAAAGTCGATTATAAATAATATTACTATGTACTTGTTCTGTGCACCAATCCCGGTCAGTTTGGAGCTCATCGCAACGCTCTTTGTCTTTTGATGACGAAGCTGAACAAGCTGCTTTGCAAGTACAGCACATGCATCTTTCTGACCCTGCTTCGCCAGCTTTTTGATTTCATTTTCCTAAAAAAAAGAATAATTAATAAATATTGAAAGAGCGGAAGTTTCACATACCAATTCCTTCTCTCTTCGTTCAAGCGTGCGTCGATCGCTTTCAAGCTCTCGATTAGCTCTCCGGATGTTTTTGTTATTTTCACGCATTTGCGCTGAAAGGTATTTATTGATATGAGAAGAAAGGTTTCATTAGAAATGAGTAAGCAGCTAATCCAGCATACTAGTGCTAACCCCTTGGTTACTAATTTATATTTAAATCCCACCTTTAGGGTCCGGTTTGTTGAACCAGCTGCTCATGGTGAAAATATTCGATAAAGGATACAAG